TATATATATATAATTGAACTTAGTCATAGACTGTATATATGTCTTTATATATTTTATACTTGCAAACATATTTTCTAAATATGCAAAAATTTAATACATACATAATGTGTATACACCATCTAAACGTATACATTAGTGTGTGTTTAGACAAACCAGACGTCATACCAATAGGAAGAGTCCTCATCTTCTGAAATGATATACTGTCACGTTCACGCTCCCTCTCAATATCCTCGATCTCGGGCAAACCAAACATAGCGACTAAGAAGTACCCCAATATGGTGGTGGGTTGCTGTGTGATTGCATCCAAACTGAACACAGTCGCACGGTACTTACCCAGGTCAAACCGAGTTGCAACAGCTCCTGTATCATCCTTAGCGAGACTATCTTTCCTACTTCTACTATGAGTATTATTGTTGTTATTGCTATTATTATTGCTATTAGGTCTATTGCTCGTGGTATTCGCCTGTAGTTTATCGGTGTCGAAGCCAAATAAGGCGGTCATAAAGTAGCCCAATACAGTTTCCGGCTCCATAATGCCTGTCCTCTCTCACTTTCACACTATAAAGTCTTTAGACACTAGATTCCTCACTTCAATCAGGTGAAATGGAGACTATATAGCTTGTGGATTGCAAACATTTACAAATGTACTATTGACTGTTTCAGTGTTTCTTGACTCAACGTGTGAAAGAAATATAGTGATCATATAGGCCCGTTTAAGCACTTTAAGACGCCATGCATCAGACCCCTGGACTCGAAATCGCAATGTTTCGAGCTTCCTTGTGTTACAATTAACTTGAGCGTATATTCGTTGTGGTGTATGCAGACATAAAGATCGGGGCTCTCACTCGAGACCCTTCACAGGCACAGTAACACTCTATGCCGTTGCAAAGGGTTCGCTCCATGTTCTTCTGGAACATGTACAAGTAAAGGTAGACCTAAACGCGACGTAGTTAAATAGATGTGATGATTAGAAGTATGTGTACATTATGTTTACCTAGTTTGGCGGACGAAATATGTAGTGACCCGACCCATGACTCATAACCATCTGAAAAGCAATATTGGCGTGTTCTAACTGGTAGACTATACCAATTCGATCCGGTGGTGGACTGGCGGATGGATCATACATCCATATGTACATATATTTATGTATTTATGATACGGTGGTGGACTGGCGGATGGATCATACATCCATATGTACATATATTTATGTATTTATGATACGGTGGTGGACTGGCGGATGGATCATACATCCATATGTACATATATTTATGTATTTATGATACGGTGGTGGACTGGCGGATGGATCTTACATCCATATGTACATATACTTATGTACCTATGTAAATATCGCAGTCTCGCTCTCGCTCTAAATACTTTGGTTCTATCGGTCACTTTAAAAAAGCGCAAAAAGTTCAATATCGGTTGTATCCTTATCAGTGCAACGGTTTATTGAACCTTGAGACGATACTATACGATATGGTAAAGCCCAAAATAAAGCCTGTACTTAGTAGACAGCTGTAATTCAGTCTGCGAATGAGACCATCACCGTCACCGTCACCGTCACCATCACCGTCACCATCACCATCACCGTCACCATCACCAACACCAACACCATCACCGTCACCATCACCATCACCAAGATTTCAGCCATGTGCTGTTCTTCCTTTTCTATGATCTTACAAGTGTGCACGTATACATGCACCAGAGATATACCAAACATTCCTGTCTCTAATAGGCCAACCCTTTCTATTTAAAGCTGCTTCAGAGACATGCGTCAACGACTTCTGCCTTTTCGTTCGGTGCGCGGATTATACGGCTGGTCACTTTTTCGAGGCATTCAAGACGTTCAGTGCGGGTCATATATTATTCATGCGTAGATGAAGTTTGTGCACGTATTGCGTATAGCTCATACACTCCCGTAGCATTGCTTTCAAAGGATTCGGTCCACGCTTAGCGCTGTACATTATGCTGCACTTCAACACGCTCGTAGCATCCAACGGGTGGCCCTTTTGGCTTCATCAGAGATGCAGATTCGAAGTTTCGAGGCTGTATTGGTGCTGATTCTTTTCCTTCATCAGACAGTCCGTGACTATATTCCTCACTTACACGTGTCTGTTCTAGGCAGTGGTCCGTCTCCAAAGCAACCGCATTGCCTGCAGAGATGATCGAATCTCTGCTATTGTGTGCATTTACATTCATTCCATCGCCAACCGTAATCTCAACCAATTCCTCAGTTCTACTGCTTGTGGTTCCTGGTAGAGCCGTGGTACTCTCCCCATTCTCACACAGCATGTCGTCGCTTGAAGTTGAACCCTGGTCAGTTGCCGTAATGTCATAACACATATCGTAGTGTTCGTCGTCATCTGGCCCTGGATTCTCCGAAGGATGATCATTTAGCCCTGTATTATCCAAAGGATGGACATTTGGTCCTGTACTAACCAAAGGATACGCCAGGGCTTTCACAACCACGCGAGTACCGTCATAGATCGCTGGGAATAGTACCATACACTGTATGAAAGCCCCTGCGTTCTGATGCACCTGATCCAGAATGGTCATCGTACTAGGATTGTATACTTGTACCTGTCCAATCGAGGTTATGTCCATCCCTAATAGCACCGAAGAGCCTCGCACCCTGGACCACAAATTAAAGATCTGGCAGTGGGTGTACAGAGTTGCATACTCTGGGGGCTGGGTGTGGCCTATCGCATTAGTACTTTGTATATTTCCACACACTACATCCCAATTGTCGCGAATTTCGCTACACACCAAAGAGATGACTTTTTCTGTAGCATTCTGAGTGGTGGGGAAAAGTGCATTGATGCTGTGCAACATATGGAAATAAGGGTTGGCTTGATCGTAGGTTGCCTGAGTTATACTGTGAGTATATTGACTAATGTATTCCAGAGGGACACCGAGTTCGAGCAGGTCAAAGATACATTTGATAGCTGTGGTCTCGTACAGAGTCTTCCATTCCTGTATGAAAGCTTCGTCTGTGGGGAAGCTACTCACTATGTCGCCACACTTGTCCGGACGTACGTACTGTTGCAGTCGATGACCTGAAAAGACAGAAATTAGATTCAGACGCTGCTTCAGCTTTCGAGCAATACACTGCCAATGGGTACCCCCGTCAATAAAAACTAAATAAATTCGATAAAGTTAAAACCCGGAAGCTAGGACTTAGAAACGTGTCTTAGGTCTCTTGGTGCACATACTCAATGTGATTTTGTCGTTGTTTAGATTCGCGACAGTTCTCTTTAGTTCTGAGCACCGTGCGTCAAACTCATTCGACTCCTCGGTTTTGGCCTTCAGCAAAGTTGCTAGCTTGTCACACTCCGCCTGCAGGTACGTAAGCTGCGCGAGTGTATTCTTGTGACTTTTCGCCGCGGCTTCCGCATCTAGTTTATTCATTTGGAAGCAGGAATGATAGCCTGTAAATTCGACAACAAAGTAGACATATGCCGGTGGAGAATATCTACGTTTGGTGTCTTTTAAGAATAAAACACGTGCTGTTGCTTACCAATTTTCGCACGCTTCAGCTCCTCGGTTCTGTCCTTCAGCAAAGTTATTAAATGTATAGACTCCACCTGCTGGCAGGCAAGCTTCGCGAGTGTTTTCTTGCGCAATTTCACCTCAGCTTCCGCATCTAGTTTAATCATTTGGATACAGGAATATGAGTCTGTAAATTCGATATCAAAGTAGACACACGCAAGTGGAGAGTATCTACGTTTGGTATTTCTGACGAATAAACCACGCGTTATAGCTCACCAATTTTCGCGCGCTTCAGCTGTGACTCTGCTTTTTCCATCCGGCATCGATATTCGTTACACTTCTGGATGATGAGCTCATTCTGCCAGACCTGGTTAGCGCAGTTAGCTATAGAATGGGAGTGTACAACATGTGAATTGAGACAGAGTAATAGTTTAAAAGAGATGGAGAGATAAATTTTTTCCTGTGATGATTGTGCATCCCTACCTATCATGAATACAAAGTTCTCTGCCTTAAATGGAAATATAGCAAGAAGTGAAAGCAAAGGAGTAGAAGGCGGCCACAAGCAGAATGGTCACCAAACATAGTGCTGCGGAACCCAATACCGTAGGGCAAAGAAAAATCTACTTGAGGTATGTCTAACTCACAATACCTTTGAGTTTAGTAAACAGCTCGGATATCCTCATAGCAGTGGTATACAAGGTGTTGTCATCGCCACATACTACACAGGGAGACAATTTGCGCTTGGCTTTGTTTTTGCTGGACATTGTCGTGAACGCTATGGTACGACTGTGACTATACACACATGTCAGTTGTACTCTAGCAGGATTAGATAAAATCATTTAGCTTATGATTGTATCACATCGCGGCACAAATGCATTCTGATCCATATGTCAATTTTTTATTCGAATACAATCTTCTCTCACTCGAGCCTGAAAACTCATTGGTGATCACTCAGAGGACAAACAACGATATGATATGACACAAATCATGGCATTGCCTTGAACGCACGTGGGTAATTTGATTCGCACCAACCTAATGGTTACCGATGCTGACGAATCAAAAGCTGCAGTCATATGGTATTCAACTCGAACATGTCGTGAGTTATGATTTAGCACTTCGTGTCTGCTTTTCATATATGAAACCAGACTTGTATTTGTTCATATCAAACGCCCTAGTACCGCACATCACTACGCATAAAATGGTATCAACTGCAGAAGCCCGTTGCACAGTGGACTGCCCTATCTGCATCAATAGACATCAACTGTTAGACTCCTGTGCTGAACTCACGCGGCAAATGACCACAAGTGCGTCAATGGCATGATCCGCTGAAACCTTTGGGATATTTAGTGCCGAGGCGGGATACAGCTCAATTTTTCTCGCACGCCTGTCGTAATTAGCTTACCAGCGACTCACCAAAGGCCAAATTCCCTGTCTATTATCATTTCTTCCTACAGTTACTTACTATAAGCAAGAGAAATACCATATATGTAATTTTATGAAGGGGGAAAATTGGCTGATATATTGTAAAAGAGTTTTGTGGTGGTGCATTCCTTTTCCCTGACTATTCATTCCTGAAAGTTCCATACCTGTCAAAGGAAATTGGGCTGTGTTTCAACACAGTTTGAAGAGCCGCTTTGAGACGACTTTTGTTGCCTCATTATGTACGACGGTGACTTAGGAAGGAAAGTTAGTATACGTGCCGTCAGGATAGCTTATTTGCAGTGAGATGTAAACTAAGAAGTATTCAGCTATACTTCGTACGTAATAAATCATTCGGTCATATGTAAACTAAGAAATATTGAGCTATACTTCGTACGTAATAAATCATTCAGGCAGATGTAAACTAAGAAATATTCAGCTATACTTCGTACGTAATAAATCATTCAGTCAGATGTAAACTAAGAAGTATTCATCTATACTGCGTACGTAATAAATCATTCAGGCAGATGTAAACTAAGAAATATTCAGCTATACTTCGTACGTAATAAATCATTCAGTCAGATGTAAACTAAGAAGTATTCATCTATACTGCGTACGTAATAAATCATTCAGTCAGATGTAAAATAAGAAGTATTCAGCCATACGTCGTCAGGTGTAGTATCCGACTAGTACGATAAAACTTGCCTTGGATAAGACTATTGAGTGAGATATTATGGTCATGGCACTGCTAGTATTTTTTAAATTGCCTCGGACTTTACTCGGAGTGACTTAAATTGCATACTCAGCGTACGTGAAAACTATTTACCATTTTACCCACATATTAAATTGAACAAGAGCTCGTTTAGATTCCGCAAAAGCTGTGCCTCGATGTTTTGCTACGCTTAGTGTGCAAGCTGGATTTTGCGTACAAAGAGTATATAGCAGGATAAACCCAAAAATAACAACAGATCTTTTCACAGGGTACTGCCGATTTAGCGCGAGATGAAGGCCCGCGGCAGAAGTCACAGTATATGCACAACTATAGTTACAGGCCGGTGGGTAACAAGTATTAATATTCAACAAATAGCCATCTAAAATCTTCCAAGTTCTCCGCGTAATGACCTGCACGAAGTATACTTTTTATTTTGAATGAATGATGCACAACTGGTAGGGTAGTATTTGCGCTGCTCTTTCGAATTGGCCGAGAAATTCGGGACGCATAACTCGGACCTTCAATGCGGCAATATAAACATTTGGGTGAGTATATCAACATAGCCTTCTAAATTATTGTACAGAAGGCTATGATATCAAACATTATGCACGGCATTAAGGTGCAGGCGGATGGAGAACCCTGGAGTGTCCCGTGCCTCAACACTTGCATCAACGCCGGCTGTGCCGATCACAAGGAATACAGCAAGACTCAACCGATTTTACCTCTGAAAGTTAAATACAGGTTGAATTGTAAAAAATATTACGCTCATGTGACTTCTCGATAACACCAGCACTGTGAAACTCGCAGCATCACAATTAATTCAACATGTGAAGACCTCTCAATTTATATACATCAGCATCACGAGACGCGATCTTATCACAATTGGATGAACTTCCGGTCTTTCCCTGATACTCTACGGCTACCTTCGTTTTGGCCATGTGACAAGAATATTGTGACGTATGACCCATATATACAATACACACTTTTTTGAGAGATGTCATGATTGATCTGCAACGATATTGATTTTCACGAGTGAAGCGACTTCACGACACTCGTACCAGAACGAACCTAAATATCGCAAGCGTATGAAGAAATGGTCCACTTGTCAGTAAGCGACCTGGAAGCTCACACCAACCACTATGACCAGCAATCGAGCATATCCATCCTTTGAATTGCCGCCCGTTGCTGTGGTTTCCATTGATTTAGGTACCGCATACTCAGGTGTGTACTCGTTCGTACTGTGTTCACGTCTCAATATGCCATTCATAGTACAGTATGAGCAGTATAGTACAGCACATACAACAGAACCTAATTGAGTTATACATCCCACCCTGCTGACACCTACCGCTAAAGTACACACATTCATTCGCTGTTTAATATGCACAGGTATCGGGTATTCCCTCGCAGGATCCAACGGCGATCAAATATTTTGCTCGGCGCCGTCAGAGGAACTGCGCTCCAAAACCAGCACAATCCTGGTGCTTGATTATCAGGACAACTTCATCGCTTTTGGCCGAGAAGCCGAAGTACAGTACAAGACATACCTCGAGAAGGTCACGCTGGAATATCAGGAAGTGGACGATGCAGGACAATCGGTTCCAAGTACTCCATTAGCGTTGTACAAACTATTTAAACTTGGTTTGTACGACATCCAGCCCGGAGAATCGCCGTTGGTCCTCTCTGAGGATGGGGAAAGGTCTGTGCCCTTAACGCTTGCCCTGACCCTGTCGCTCAAAGCGCTGAAGGACTTTGCGGTTGGACACATACGAAATGAAACCACACTCAACATCCATGTCCATGAGATTCGATGGGTGATCACTGTACCAGCCATATGGTCTCAGACGGCCAAGAACATCATGCGCGAGTGTGCTGTCAGTGCTGGTCTCATTCCAAACCATATGTCGACTCGTCTAGTGCTTGCTTTGGAGCCGGTAGGTTTGTTCAAAAAGACTGTAAATATTGCATCATGCCCACGCGAGTATATCATAGTCTTGAATGCCTGCAGGGATATATCACGTTGTATCTAGTTGCGACTTTGTATCAGGCTTGTCCGTATATATCGTAATACGGGTGCCAAAGCACCTATCAACAATATATGTCGTACTTGACTGCAGGAGGCAGCCGCAATCGCCATCGGAAAGAACATGACCGGCTTGTTGGCGAAGGGCGCTAAATGCATGGTCATTGATCTAGGCGGTGGTACCGCTGACATCTGCAACTACATAGTCACAAACCAAAGCCCTTTGAAAATGTAAGTCTAATTAATTACTGCGGGGTCGGGGTGGAGTATTTGTCTGCTTGAGTCGGTTGCTATTTTAAAGTGATTGCAGTAGTCCTCATGACTATCGCAATCAGCGTGTTGACGGCTGTCGCTTTATGCGATTACAAACTTATTACGTTCATCCCAGTATGCAAGTTCTCACAGTTAGTTCAGAATCTACGTTTGTGTTCCGTTCACAACGATTGAACCCAATTTTACATATCCAAATTAATTTGGCAAACACCTTTATCTCCAAAGGCAGGAGCTCATCGCACCAACTGGCGGTCAATGGGGCGGATCCTCAATAGACAGCGCCTTTGAAGCGTTTCTGAGGGACTTTTTGGGGCCAAGTAATCTGGAGCTGTTCCAGAAACAGTACCCCCTCGATTATTTTACCTTGATAGAGCAGTTCATCTCTTTGAAAGAGGATACGGTGAAGCGCTATATCTCAATGGCAGTGCTTTTCACCTGCCCAGGTAACCCCTCGGCGCTCCAATTCAGAGTTCACCTTGTATGCCGTTTATACATTAGTTCACCTTGTATGCAGTTTTGCAGTTTATATTTTAGATCACCTTGTATGCAGTTTATACGTTAATAGACATTCACCTTGTATGCAGTTTACGCGTTAATAGACATTCACCTTGTATGCAGTTTATACGTTAATAGTCATTCACCTTGTATGCAGTTTATACGTTAATAGACATTCACCTTGTATGCAGTTTATACGTTAGTTAGCCTTGCATACCGTTTATACGTTTAGCCGAAATTGTAACATCTCTGTGCTTCGTGCCCGGCTATTCCCCATGCCCAGTTTAACACATACGCATACACATTGTCATCCCTCACCCCAGAACTCGATTTGGATCTCAAGGAAGTCGTAGAGAGCTTCAACTCGAAGCACTACGAGACTCCCGGTGAGTGCCTTCGGGTGTGACTTCTCCTGCGCCTATTCAATTCAATAACGTTTTCAGCTACACCTTCACAAGGGACTTCCAACTATCTGCTCCTCATCTCGTATACTGACCCACACATCGCATCTACTGTTGTAGTGGTACCTCATGGAGCCACTCGAATCGAGTTGTCCGAGCCCTTGATAGAGATGATGTACCAAGATACGACGAAGAACATTATCAACCACCTCAAGAATCTGCTGCAAAAACCCGAGCTAGCCGGCATGAACTACTTCCTCATGGTATGGACACGCGTGATACGACTTGTATCTTGTATTGTGGTACACTTGCTAGCTCGTTGTTACGCTATACATCGCATTTAGTGCATTAGCGAATACATCGCTGGTTGTCTGCCCATGACCTAATTCGAAGCAACTAGGATCAACCACCCGTTACACTGGCACGTTCTGTGTTTCAGTGGGAAGACTACTTGTAGATCGTATGGATAGCTGTGTCACACAATTCGTGCGTTTTATTACCGAGACAAGTAACTCGTATACCTAAACCCACGCACATCCATTCCCTCAGGCAGGTGGCTTTAGCTGCTCACGGTACATCCAAACGAAGTTGCAGGCCGTCTTCGGCAACCGTGTTCACTTTGCAATACCTCCCAAGCCACGGCAAGCGGTTATGATCGGAGCTGTGCTGTAAGTAACACGTTTACACTTTCGAATTTACTTTATGCTGAGACAACCTGTGTGTATACAGTAGGTAGATGGATTACTGTTTTAGGTGAACTACATATTAATTCTAATAACCTCTTCTCGCCTACCTATAACTATCACACTAGTATTGGAATTGTCTGGTAGCGGTGTCATCCGAAGCCTATGAGTCATCTGGGTCGGCCATTGTTTACACCTATCATGTTAAACCCTCCACCCACCCCCGACGCTCTGACCATAGATAGTGAGCGAAACGGTCGAGCCTCTACGCCGAAAACTTGCTTTATACACAATACCATATTCAAAGTAATAATCCTCGTCAAAAGTTGAACCTCAAAGTATCGGCCGTCTACCTACATACAGGTTTGGGATGCAGCCAAACGCCACCGTCGAAGCCCGCATATCACCAGTACACTATGGTGTCAAGTGCTCAACAACCCACCGATCTGCCTACCCGGCACACGTGGCCGTCTATGACTCCATCCTGCGTCAGTATGTAGTGCACGATACCTTCTCCGTTGGCGTGTCTAAGAACGAAAAGATACCGGCGGGTTATTCGGTGACCAAGTCCTACACCCCCCTGTACCCGCACCAGGCCACCATACAGTTCGAGGTGTACTCGTGCGCGCTGGAAAACGTACCGAGCTTTGTGACCAATCAGCACGTGAAGCGCATCTCTACGTTTACGGTTAATTGCGACGCGAACAAGTCGCAGGCCGAGAATGAGACGCTGGTGACGTACAATTTTGGTAGCACAGAAATAACAGTGTCTGCGTTGAACAGTGTTACACGCGAGGAAGTGGAGGTGAAAATGGCTTTGCAGAAATGATATCTCGGGCCGAGACATAGACACGGATATGGTAATAATACACGGATAAGACAATAAAAGCAACACTTGATGTGTCACTGTTTATAATGATATCTCAGGCTGAGACGGTGATAATAACCCACGGATATGATAATAAAAGCAATGCTTGGTATATCGCTGCTGGCACATTGCGCTACTGCGATCTATTCACTGAGAGGCCTCCGCCGGCTGTATAGTTTGATGCACAGCTGTAGGTAGATTATTCAGCTATCAATGTCGACGCAGTTAGTGAGTCACGAATCTCTGTACGTTTAATACTGCAAACGCTCAATACATTCAGCGAGCAATGGCTTACGACTAGCATCGCCGGCGTAGTGTGTTAAAGCAATTAAACTTCCCGTACTTGTTTAGAATATCTAAATGAAAAGGCTGTCGGGTGTGACATGCATGTAACTCTACCTCACTGAGCCCCAGACAAGTAGACACACCTGTGCAATTACGGCTCAGGCTTTCTGATACGTACTGTAAGATTGTACCCAAAGCATTCATTAGACAACTGGTTTCATTGCCAATCTAGGCTCTTCAGATCAGCACCGGATACACAACCGCATATACAACAATAAAGATAAACACTACACGGCCGTTTTGGCATCATGGATATGACTGTGATTATTGCGCACGTGCTTCAAAGCGTGAGCCACGGTTGGCATGACAACGGCCACAGATATACTTGTGCAAACTCAGGCTTAAGCCTTTATAGTGAGTGGGTATTGAACATCCCGCTCACAAACCGCCTGCGTTATGCCGAAGCATATCGGCTTGTACATTGTTTTGAACGTTTATGCACTAAATCTCATAAAAATATCCATATAGCTATTTTTCATTCTGCACACATTTGAATATGTATAGGTGTGTGAACCTGCGGAGAGATATTCATTTTGCGATCGGGGTGATTGTTTCATCCTCAACCTGATTGCTGACACAAACAACTTTGCTGTAGCACGTTATTTGGCAGGAATGAAGCAAAAGGACGTTTAAAGTAAACTAGCCAAATAACGGCTACTATAGGATAACGCAACATACACACAGAAGAAATAAATATAGAAACGAATTGAGAATGCAAATTAGCACATATACAGTCAGCCCACAAGCACACAATAAAAAATTAATACACATTTAGACGATCAACACGCGTAAAGGGTATCAACACACATATTCCGAGCATCCACACCCATATTGGGATTCAACTAAACGCCGCAAACGAATGCATACTCTTACGGTGTGCACGTAGTGGGCCACAATAAAAGACATAGGGACGAGTCATTTAGGTTCTCTCCTCTATATCGCCTTGTAAATATAGATATCCGTTTTAGAACCGTTAAGCCGACATCTAACTCGAGAGTCCGATGCTTTGATCCTATATTCTGATGTTTTAAACCCCTACAATGTATAGCTATAGTATTGCCAAGTGGTGCGACTAAGCTTCACACCGGCTTCCCATTGTCCACAGGATGTTTTGTTTCATGCATTGATATAAAATGACAAAAACCTGATCAGGTATGTAGCTTTAGATATTTACAAACTATTTGATATCAAATTATTTGAAGCGGTTCAATTGAACACCTAGATTGATCGCACACACGCGTGAGTGTGTGTATATATATATGTGTGTGTGTGTGTGTGTGTGTGTGTGTACATGTGTGTGTGTGTGTGTGTGTGTGTGTGTCTATGGGTGTGTGTGTTTCTGTGTGTGTATGTGTGTCTGTGTCTGTGTG